TTCACCTGGGATTGAACCGGTATCTTGTGATCTGACCTGTGGAGTGCTAACCACTGCACTATAGACCCACAGGTCTTTGTCCAAAGACTTTTTAGACGAACTGTATATATAATATATATATAATTTGTTACAAAAGTCTTTAAACTAATCTTTTTAATATACTGTAATTTAATAAATCGTTATTTAATTTATATAAAATTTCAATATATATACAGTATATATATATTATAATTTAATAATAAAAATATTTAAATTTTATTAATAATTAATTATTTTAAATAAAAAAAAATTAAAAATTTTTTGATTAGATTTTTGTATATAAATTTAAAATTAATTATAAAATTAAAAAAATATATTAAATATTTTTTGTAATATGTAAATTGATTTTAAAAATTTTAAAAACTTTTAAAAAGTCAATTTTACTATAAAATTTTATAAATTGATAATAAATTTTAAAATTTTTTAAAAAACTTTTATTTTATTTCACTTTATAAAAATATTTTTTAGTTAATAAAAAAAATTATAAAAAAAAATATTTTTTAATTTTAATTTTTATTTAACAAATTTACATATTAAAATAATTTTATTGATTTTTTTTTAATTTATAATATTCAATATAAATTTGAATATAGCTTTAAAATATTTTTTTAACTTTGAATCAAAATTTAATGATATTATTATAAAATATTTAAAAAATTCATTTAAGTAACTCTATTCTTTAGATCTTAAAATATATACAATATGTTTAAATTTTTATTATATTTTATCAATTGGTTATTAATTTATAAATAAAATTAACAACCAAATATTGGTTTATAAACTTTTGTAACAGATTAATATTTATACGTATATTTTATTTACTTTTAAACAATGAATTAAAAAAAGTAATAGAAGAGTTTTAAATAAAAACATAATAGAATTTTGTAAAATAGAATTAATATAAATTAAAAAAATTTTTAAACAAAAATTATTCTTTCAATATAAATATTTATAAAATTTAGACTTTTTAAAAATCATAAAAAAATAATTATTGAATAAAAAATTTTTAGTTCAATTTTTTCCTTGGCACCCTGTACTTTCAAATATGATATATAGTATAAAAACTAAATTAAAATAAAACCAAGCTTAATATAAAATATATACACAATCATTTTTAAATAAAATTATCAATCATAAATAATATTACATTGTTATAATACTGTACTTTAACATATATTTATTAACATTTTGAAATATTTACATTATCATTGAATATATATATAATATTTTATTACATTAAGTTTATCATTAACATTATATTAAAATGTTGAAATGCGATTAAACCATTGAAAACAATGAAAAGTGGAATAAAATAACGTGATCATCCTAATTCGTCGTCGTCGAGCCCGAATATATTAGAACAAATTCATTCCATTTTTCTATTAAAGACATTTTTTATGCAAAATAACAAGACGTCCGTCACAAAACCGAATGCAATTATCTCGCCAAGATTATTTTTTTTTTAATGGATACATGACATATTAATACATTTATCGCGTATATTATCAACTTAAATGTTCCTTGCAATAAGGCTTTCCATCACGCACATAGAACGAACCCTGGAACGGTTCACGACATACCTAACATAAAAGAGTTAGTAAAATGCTAATCAAACGATATAATTTTCAACAAAAATTAATAAACCAACCTCACAACAGAAACAATGATTATGCCACAATCCATCTAAAGCACTCGTATGCTCTCCTTTAATAGGTTGTTGACATCCCTTACATTTAGATGCTATAAAGAAATATTTAAAATTAGCACAGCTCGCTTGTTATCGTTACTATCTCTATAATATTTGAGATCAATTTACCGAATAACCTTGTCCAATCATCTTCGCAATATGGAAATCCATCATGGACCATGAAACCTCCGGATTCAAATGGCTTACCACATTCTCGACAGAAGAAATGACCGGGATGCCAATATTTACCGAGAGCATTAATGCATTTCTATTTACCATATTAAAGTTAAAATCGAATTGCTGTAATCATATATGTCTATCTAAAAATAAATCTAAAGATACAAACCCCTTCGATTGGTGTGTTGCAAGAACCACATCTCGGACTAAACAATTCATGGTAATCCAAGTGACAATAAGGACGACCATCCTTTTCATAAAACGAAACATGTTCCAAAGCAATATTGCAGTGAGCACAAGTGAAATGCTCAGGGTGCCATTTCTTTCCCAGAGCCGATAAAACATTTCCGTTTATTTGTTTTTCGCAAGCCGCGCAGTTAATAGAACTTGATGGTTTTGAAGTATTTGTCGATTTTTGAGAAGTATTATCATTTGATTTCTGTATATCGGTATCAGGTAGAGGTAAATTTTTATTTGGCGTGGCTTCTTTATTGGTATCATGTTCCGTTCTGATATTATTTGACGGAATCTTTGAACTTTCATTATCCAACAAATCAACAGGCGGGTATTTTTGTATTGCTTCATCATAACGAGAATTAGAATTCGTATTTGTTTGTGTTTCTTGCTTTGACTCCTGGATTGTAGAACTTCGCTTCTCCTTGGCCGGCGTTGTTTCACGCTTTTGTGTCGATGGCGGTAACATGGTTTGCTTTTGGTCAGAAGCCCCAGGAGCGGATATTCGTGATTTGAAAGCAGCAGATAATACATAACTTCCTTTTGATGTATCATCTGCATTATTCTCTACATTTTTAGTATTTTTGAAAACTTTTGTTGTTTTATTGTCGCCCTCGTTATCTGGTTTCAAGGAAAGTTTTGTTTCCATAGGATAAGAAAGATCATTCACAATTTCGTCAATATTCACATCCCGTTTCTTTTCGTTTGAATCTCTGGTTTTGAACGTTGAAGTTTTGGGTTTTTCTTCAATTGCCGTTGGAATTGAATTTTTTCTTGAGACGTTTCGTGAGCCATCAGCATTATTATTGGATGTTCGTGGCAAACTGGACAAGCTGTGACGCTTAACAGTCGTATTACTATTATTACTTTCTTGCATCTTGGATGAATCACTTAGCCGATTGCGCTTAGTGTCAGGTGGAGGACGTGGTCCAAGAACTTGTTTTCTCTCACTGTCGGAAATTGTTGAATTGTTGTGTTAGTTGAAGAAAGATCCCATAGATTGAAGTAAGTTAATAGAAGACCTTTTCGGTGTACTTTCAGCGAGATGACTCTTGGGGGGCGGAGGTACATTTATTGAGGTTGATATTCTTGGTGTGGCATTCTGAAGGGCATTAATAGCAATCGCACCTGCATTGTTGTTCGCTGGTTTTGGCGCTGTTTCACTAAGATTCTTCAAGTATTTATCTAAATTCCAAAGAAAAAAAATGTTGTTATATTTTCCCCAGGATAGAAATCATTGAAACACCAAAGATCCTTCGTACCAAGTTGTTCCCTTGTCAAATACGACATCGCAGCAAGCAAAAGTATTAAGATCTTACGGATAGAGTTTAAAGAAAAATTAAGGGATTGACACTCCTGGAAAAGGGTTCATCCAGTCATCCATACATGTGACCGAAGCCCCCTTAATTTTTTAATCTCAATTTTTGATCTAAGAAAATCATTGCCAAAATAAGACGAAATATTCAAAGAATTATTATTATTTTTTTTTTTGAGTCAATTTTTTGTATAATCAAAAATTTATAAAAAAAATAATCTAGATCACTAAATCACCATATTAAAAATATATAATATTTAATTTAATTTTATTTTTTTCTAATCAAATTGTATACTGTGTTCATATAATTAAAATATAATATTTGACTTGAGAAAAAATTTCTTCAAACATGACAATACTGATCAATTAAATTTCAAAAATTTTATACTGTATTATAAATATAATACTTATCAATGCAGTGCAAGAAATAATAACTCTCAATTTTTTAAACTAGACAAATGATTTTTTTTAAAAAAAAATTTGTTTTTGTTATAATGCAAACTTTTGATTTAACAATTTATAATTTTTTGTTATAATATTAATAAAAGCAATTGCTATGATTATAATATTATACAGTATACAGTATATAATTTTGAAGATATAAATTCAATATTATTAAATGAATATATATTAAATATACAAAGAGTTAAAAAATAATGAATAATCATTATAATATAATCAAGATGACAAAATAAAGCATAAGAAAAAGGTTGTTTAAATTATTTGTTTATATTAAAATTTTAAATTATTTTTACTAGTTTTAATTACGAATCTTAATAATTTATTGATTATGAGTATATGATTGTATCTTTACTCAAGATCGAACTTTCCTTGCCGATGTACAATAAATTCGTATTAGAATCCAATATTTATCAAGGATAAGAATTTTGTGAATAATTTAAGGAGCCTCATATGATATACAATATAATAATACAATATTTATGACAATGTTATATACAAATTAACCTTTGTAACTCATATGCATCCTCTAAATATTCTTCTAATGTGTCGACACTCTATTTAGGCGAGTTGACAATAGGCAAAGTGTGTTGTTTATTCTCGTGAAGATCATCCCATATACTCAACGGGAAAATGAGGAGAATTATTTCGCAACTTTAAAATCACTTTACTCGTCCACTCTACTCCTTGCATCTCAATCAATCTCGAGATTGCTCTCTCGAATGCAAATATCTCCTCTTCTCCAGTGAATATTGGAATGTGTTTGTGGTCATGTGCATGTAAACCTAGATCGTCTAATAGGTCATGATTAATTTCATGCGTAGGATCCGGATCTTCTTCAGTAAAGAAAAGCTCATTAGGTGGTACCTCCGCCGAACATATTAACGTTGACTTATATAAATCAAACAATGGTGAATATTAAGATCATTAATCGTAGGAATCTCAAGCGAGTATAGTTTGGACGATGTACTTCATACATACCCTTGTATCATACATCGCATCAATAAATGTGATAAACCTCCTCGCCTCATTTTTCAAGCTTAAAGATAGTCTTGGAATTTCAGAAAGTATGATGACGTTATAACGTTTGGTGAGTTCCAAATAGTCAGCGGCACTGAGGGGCTGACAACACAATTCCTTGAAGGAGAATTTGGCTACATCACTACTTGCTTGAGGCACGATCAACGATCTACCCCAAAAATTCAACTTTTCCTCATAAATTGGTCCCCCCTGTGCTAAATTTTTGAACGCATTCTCTATTGCAGTCCTTGATTTTTCATTCAGCGGGGTAAAATAAACGCCCATTGACTCTTTGGACCGTTGACGATAATCTATCCCCGAGTTAAGAGTTTGTACCTGACATCGTTCTTTTAGCAGCTCGATACACGGTATGAAGCTTTTACGTTGGATTCCATTCTTGTATAAATCGTCTGGATGCCGATTTGAAGTAGTTACTACGACGACACCTCGATTGAAAAGCTCATCGAAGAGACGCCGTAGAATCATTGCATCCGCTATGTCAGTGACTTGAAATTCATCAAAGCACAGCACGATGGCATCATTCGCCAAATCTGTGGCAATGGGAGGTATTGGATCATAGGTTTCGGAATTAGATTGTTTGAGCATGTGAACGCGTGCATGAACATCTAACATGAATGCGTGAAAATGAACACGACGCTTGCGTTTAATGGGTAATGAATCGTAAAAGAGATCCATTAACATGGTCTTTCCAGTTCCAACATCACCGTAAAGATATAACCCTCTAGGGCTATTAGCATGTGATCTTTTTAAGGGTGCACTGAACAGTTTTGTAATCTGGAAACCGACTAGTTAATTATTTCCTAATTTAACTGGCAGAAAAAATGTAAAATTTGTTGTTTACCTTTCCGAAAATGGATCCACTATTTATATCGTCCCGCGCTTCCGTGATAAGTGGTGGATCATAATTTGCTAATCGATTGTGCAAGTCCTGAAGGATATTAACAATACTACGCTGAAATGGATCCTCCTTTACCATTCCAGAGGCGACAAGAACATTATAACGTGAGTTTGGTCCGCCTATCAAGAGGTTAATTAATAATTAGTCATCACCGATTGTATGGAATGGTAGAGCACAGACCGTGAGTAATAAATAATTGGATTGGGAGGTTTTGAAACTCCAGACAGTTGTTACCTTTCTGTATTTGCACGTCTTTGTGCGTCCGTTCTAACCCTGCCAAATTGGAACCATCGATGTCTGTTATGGAGCGAGCTTCGACGGCGATAAATCTAGGTGAATTATGTGACCGAGACACGAGCGGTGTGAGTGCTCTTGGTGAGATCCAACGAAGACTGCTAACGAAACGTGAGGAAAATAACGGGGTAGATAAGCTGGTGAAAGTTCGAAAAGCGTATTGGTAGTTTCTTACAGTAGTCATTATTATTCGTTTGACGAAATAAAAAGAAAAATGATAATTTACTGGTAATATGCCGGGCAAACCAAAAACAAGGAATACCATTACACATTAGTCAAATCTGATGATCTGATAAGTCATTCGGGTACTTGACCATATTGTATTTTGACCTCTTAGAAAATGTTCCGGTTCAAACTAAATTGATAGTCGGACGATACCGGCCGAAAACCTATTTCTGGGCATGTCCGACTACACAAGACCCAGGGTCATAAGTTCTGGATATTACGATCTCACCAGAATCACATATTTTCACGTGATTTTATTCAATTTTATGCAAGTCTGTTCGTTAAAGTTGTTTGTCAAAAGGTTCCTTTCCTTTTTGCTCGGGATTTCTTTGAACTTTAATTGAGTTCGCGAATCTCTCCAATACGTTGGAAACATGCCAAGCACCTCGGCAATTTTATTGGGCATGGATATGCAAAGCGCACAAGATTATAACTGGTGATCTAGGATGATTTCAGTTAGTTCGGCGCGGTACTCACCTGTACCACCGTGACATAATTTGATGTCTAATTTGATTATGCTTTCCTATTGTAGGTGAGTGGTGCTAGCTGAAGGTGGGAACCCTTTTTTGGCATGCATATTCAATTCAGTACGTTTACGCACCAAGCGACTCGCGATGTATTACCATTGTCGCATTTTTCTTTCTGATGATATTATACGTAGCCCAAACGTTACATCACACAATTTACATTCTTTCCATTTCATTACCCCAAAATTGTCAGCATTTGGGGCGCTTACCTTTATTGACTTAGTTTCCTGTTGCATACCCTCATACATCTGTATACATGGACACACACATATATATATATATGTGGCAGTTCTCTCAACTTATGTATTCCATCCCAGTTCCTCTAATGATTTTTTGAAAGTTCCTTGGCCGGCTTACCTTTATCGACTGTATCTGTTTTTTATCACCTATCAGCTTTTTGTCGTTTTGCTTTTCTTCTATTCGCTTTCTTGGGTTCTCCTTTACATTGAACAATGGGTTCCTTCTCGAACTTTAATGCTTCCGACCTTGGCTCAACCGATCTCGATTTCGAACAATACCAGAATCTAGACTTCGACTTTTTGCCCGTAGAAACTCAAAGTCAATCAGATGGAAATAGAAAGAATTTGGGAACTCACGATTACCACCAACATAATGCTGCCCTCTTGACTTCCGGGAATTTATCTTCTCATCACAATTTTACCCTGGCCGCCGTTACTCCCCCTTTCACCTTGCCGAACGATATGTTACCGACCCCCGAAGGTTCTGAGCACAATGTTTGTCCCGATGCGATGCTCATGTCACCCTATACCCTAACAACAATAGAGGAGGCCTTTCAGGAAGATGAGGTAGGTATTTCTTGAGCCCGACTCTTTTAAAAGTATTGGCTTTACATGCAACCTTTAATAAACCTTTTCGAATTTATTTTACCTAGCGTCGTTACTTCGAATCTTTGGAAATCTCGGCATTAGGAAATCAACAATGTATCTCATATTATGTGAACCCTGGACTCTCGTCACCGTTAACTTCTCCAGCATCGTCCCCAATTCAAATCGTGAATGTTTCCAATAATTCGCCGATAATACCTTCTAGTCAAAAATCATGTTCTTCTCTCAATCATGTTAATAATGTTCAACGGTTCTCCACTATAAACAAACAAAAGTCGGAAAAGAGCAATTCCATCTCCCAGAACCCAAGAAGAAAATCTTCCCATAACAACAATGTTGACGACATCAATCATAGTTCAGAAAATAATGGTAATGGCACCAAAAAATTGACCATGATCATGACAGATTCACCACCACAAATGGTGAACATGACAAACTTGGAGCAGATGACTTCGCCAATGATGAACATGGTGATCGCACCTTCAACATCATCTTCAACTGCTGTTATGCAAGAACCTATGCCCAATTTAAATCTCGGTAGCAATCTCGTGTCCGCTGCAACGTCCACTCTTCTTTCGCTCGCGGTTCAAAATGGCTCCTCGGCTCCCTCCTTTTCTGAGAATATTGCACCGATAACACCATCTTCACTCATGAAATTGAACGAGAAGTCTTCTCTAAAGCCTAGTCAATCTGGGCGAAAGTCAGGTCAAGAGAAAAGTTCCCCTAAGTCATCGCAGAACCAAACACAAAATTTAAAACAGTCAGGCGAGAATAAGGATCAAACCTCAGAACAACGATCCTCAGGCAAAGAGATTAATCAATCAATCTTCATCGCACCATCCCCACCTACCAAAAAGTCTATCAAGGTCGCAACGACTGTTGCATCAGGGACACAACCAATGACAATACAGCCTAACGTTTCTCCGGTTTCACCGAGAACGATGTCTCCAATGATCTTGCCATCCTCTCCGATTGCAAGAAGAAGTTATACGCACAATGGCTCTTCATCGACTCTAAACTCTTCAAAAAGCCCTCAGGCCTTGAAACCTACAATAAGTCCGAACCTGAAGCCAAAGTTACCTGGTGTCATAGCCGATGAAGTTGCGGAACAATTGGCTAAGAAGTCTAATTACCAAAGTATTTTGGAAGGCACTGCAAAGTAAATCTTTGATGAATCACTGCATTCACGTTTGAATCATTGATACACTTGAATAACCAACCCATCATACCTCTTTTGTTATATAGGTCCCTCGGCATTTCCTATTCTTCTGATGTGCACTCGAGTCTTGAATCTCGACGTACCACGCACAAAGCTGCTGAACAGAAACGTAGGGATTCGTTGAAACAGAGTTTTGATGAATTAAAAAAAGTCGTTCCATTCCATTCGACAGATTCCAGTAATTCGAACAATGGCAACAATGGCAATGGAAACAGCAGCGGAAGCGATGGAAACAATAGTAGTAACTCAACTGGCAAAAATGGTGATGGCAATCCCTCGATGAAAAATGTGTCTAAATTATTCCTGTTAAAAAGAGGTAAATAATCATGATTTTTACTTCTGTGGGAGGGTTGCGTTCAATTTATTATACTATAATAATTTCGGATTTCTTTTTTTTTTCGTTACCTAGCCCATGACTATATCGTTGAGCTCCATAAAATTACCAGGGAAAAAGATGATATTATACAGAAACTTAGTGAGGAACTTGGTGAGCTAAGGCAATCAAAAAAACAAAAGGTCGAACACGACCAACAAAACGAGGACAAAATGGAAATATCAAAAGACAAATCTGATGCTTGAATATTCATTTTTTTTTTTCCCCTCGATCTTTCGTTGAACTTCAACCACCAACAAAATAAGAAAAATTTAATCATTGCTTTAAGTTGAGGAACATATGATTAAATCTGAAACATCCGTACCCGAATACCACAAGACATTTAAGAGCTTTCTCATCCCCCTGTATTATAAATTCCTTCTTTTTAATAATACAAAGTACATTATTAGATCTTCCCCCAAAATCTTTAAGGATTCATTCTCGACTTAAACACTCCACATTATGCAATCTAAACCCCAATCAAAAATTTTATTCATTATTTTCTCTAAAAAAAAATGTACATAAACTACAACATTCTCATTATTCCCTTTATGTCGAAGTGACTTTTAAAAAAAATCCCCGTTTTCCGCAAGGTTCATCCATTCCATCCGTATTTCTTAAAAGAAAACCTCTTTTGTTACACATTCTATTCATACATTATTATCATTACTTTTTTCTCCCCTGAAAAATCGAATATCCAGGCATTATATGAATTCTGAGCGGAAAAATCGTATTATTATTAGTGAGAACTATATCATATAATCAGTGAGAGTTTATGATGACACAATTATTGACTAAATTAAAAATATCACGACAAAAAAATGACACCAATTATAACAAATCCACGAGTGGTCGAGATTTATTTTTTTTTTGTGTGTGTGTAAATTATTTCTTTGGTTTTTGGGCTGCGATTGCATATCCTTCGCCTTAATCATGTGATTAATATTAGGCCAATCGGATACGCGAAATTTTATTTTTTTTTCAGGAAAGATTCATATCGATGTGATCTTGTCTATCAGAATAACTAATATTCATATACTGTAATTAAATTTGTCATTTAATTTAATATTTAATATAAATTAATTTAACCATCATATTAATCTAGTCTATACTTAATAAACACTAATAAATGAACGCATAAACGTTTATATACGCCGTGCATTACCATTAAAAATATTTATAACCAATACCGTATATATACGCATATATACGTAATTTTACAGTAGTATAAATTACAGATTTTTTACTATTAACACGTATAGCGGTGTGATATGGTAAAAAAAATTTTTTTTTTTTTTAATATCGTCTATTACTTATTAATTTATTATCAAATCAAATATATTGTATATTTTATCCTTGATAAAAAAAATTCAATAATAATAATGATTTTAATTTTAAAAATTGATTTAATTGTTTTGTATATTAATAATTATTATTAACTGTTAATTTGAATTATTATTTGAATTAAGAAATATTTGATTTTATATGAAACATTATTGAAAATCATTGGATATTGTAATTATAATTAAAATATTATTTTATTTTATTATTTTATTTTATTTGTATTATATTTAATAATAATTATTATTAAATATACTATATATATATACAGTATATAACAAAAAAACAAGTTTTTTTGTTATTATTATAACTAGTAGGAACAACATAATTATGTTGTTTCCACTTAGCTTAGGTTATAATGTGATGTATAGTCTATATTATAATTTTGGCCACATTAGTGTATAGTCGATCTTATAATTTTGGCCACATAATATTGGTGGCTAACTTTTGTCATCAAGTTATACTTGAACTGACATATATTGAAACAATGGTTTGATCAATTTCTGTTATCAGATTGCATATGACACAATGTATATCAATTTGGTGATTATGGTTGATTTTAAAACTAAGTTGCTCTCTGAGATAAGTTATGCTAGTTGATATTATACATGTTTTCATATTTAATTCAAACATTTTTCAAAACTCGTATTATGTTTGTATTACTAAGTAACAATTAGTAAGTAATTGGGAATCATATTTAATTCAAAATCATATTGTCGATCAAATTTTCTTTTATAGTAATAAGGAAACATATATAGTTGATACATCAGGAAATTTTTTAGCAAAGATCTTCGAAAATCTTTGGGTGTAGACTTCCAGAGAACCTCCATCGCCATTAAAAAAACTGAGCAACAAATTATTATTATAAAAAAGAATCCAGAGAAATGTGAAAATACTGAAAATGATCTGGGACAATTATTAAAAAATAAAAAATTAGAAAAAAGGACTTTGGA